TATTTTAATCTTGGCTGTTCACCGCCCTGAGTCCTTCGGGAGAAGGGCGGTACAAAAATTTAATTAATAATAATAATAACAACAACAACAACATTGGAAGGCTTTTTTATTTACATTAAAAAAATGTAATTTTTTTTCAGAAGACAGGTCAACTGCACAATGAAGCTTTGTGCTTAAAAGCATTCAAACAAAGCTAACCTTGTGAGTGCTTAATGAAGGTTAAAACCCACTGTGAATTAATTATTGTTGCTAAGAGCCAAAGCAGGAAGTAATTGGATAGTTTCATAAAGCTAAACTTAGATCTACATTTATGATATTCATAATCATGAGTTGAAGTGCGCAGTTGGCAAAGATACCATTCTCTGATTTATCATAGGGAAAATTTGTGCTGGTTTTGGTGGAAGAAGCATTTTATACAGGTGTAGAGAAAAGGTGTAACTTTGGGAAGAACTTAACAGGTCTTTATGATTTTGGGTCTCAGTGAATTATTGTATACTGGTCATTATTTATATAATTAATTCTAAAGTGTAAATTTGTTTTTTGTTTATAGAACAAAGCTTTATAGGTATCCATATAGCTTGATTCGTGGAATTCTGTAGCAGAAGCTCTTTGGAATAAGAATAGTCCAGAATGACTAAAACTTAAGAGTTTCCCATCTCTTGAAGATTTTAAATGCTTTCATTTTAAATTTACAATTTAAATATTTGTAGGTTTTGAAGTGGCTTTAATTTGTCGTTTAATGTTGTTAGCCACCTTGAATGTTCTACAGTCTTGTCCTCAGAACAGCTGTTTTCATTGCATAGAGAACTGAACTAGAATAATGGAAGTTGGGGCTGATATGTGTATGATGTTTTATAAGAATCTCTGAAATATTTGAAAAGATAAAGATCTCTCCCCGCTCTGCAGTTATATAGCCAGATAAGCCATTTAATTATTAATAGAGTTAGTATAAGAACAAAACAATTCCAATAAGCAAAGGATTTTAAGGTTACTTATTATGAGCAACATCCTTTAGCTGCTTATGGTAGAAGAGTCATATTTGACATTCCTTGGAGGAAAGTTAGAATACAATAGAAAATTGTCTAGTTAAAATTTCCAGGCAGTCATCAGGGAAATTTGTGGATGATGTCAGATATACTGAAATATGGACAACAGCATATTTCCTGAGTGGCTAGGGAAAATAATTAATTGCACAATTTTTCCAGTCAGGGACCTCCTACCTATAGCATGTTAAAGCTCTTTTGGTAAGTTTCTGGGAAACAATTCTCTGAGAGATGGATCGATACAAATGCCAAGTAATTGTGCTTGTCATAATAATCCTACCAAAACCTTCCCTAAATATGATCAGAGTCATACTGTTTAGCTCTTGAAACAACCTGAGGAAGTTTGATTTATAGGGAATTAATAATTATCCTACAGTTTGATAGTACTTTATATTAGTACAAATGTGATTGTCTCTAGGTAATCCTGAATTTACAACCATTCGTTTAACGACTGTTACAACAGTGCGGAACAAAGTGACTTATGACTTGTCCTCAAACTTATGACCATGATATTGTCACCACAGTCAACCAGAACTTCAGCTCTGTGTTAAGCGGTAACAAGACTGCCTTAATACTTTAATTCTGTAGGTCGAACTTCCCATTAATCTCTGCAGCTGGTATAAATCAAAAAGGTGGGAGGCAAAAAATGAGGATGGGTGTGGCAGAAACCAGTGGTAGAGGAGAAAATGAGTACAGTATTTCCACATGTTCAGCAGTCTGATCAGTATTGTAAGAGGTAAAGCAGCTACAGAAGTAGCCAGTTGAGCTGATTGGCATTTATGGGCCTGGGAGAGATTGATCGTTAAACAACAGTCTTACTTTACAGACAGAAATTCCTTGGCAAGGTGTTTGGATGTAAGAGGTATTAGCTTGCAATCTCTGTGAATGATGCCTTTTAGTGGAGAAAAATGGGTTAAAACAGTCTTAAATAGATATGTACATGACTTCATATATGATATATGTGATAAGATACATCACATCATATATATATTTGTCTTCATAGGACCTAAGACTGATGTTTCAGTACCTTATTTCTTTTTTCCTACGCTCAAAACAGAATGAAAGAAAAAAAGACACAAAGTTGATATAATAGCATTGCTGAGGAATCTAGCCTCTCTTTGTTTTTAAAATTGGTATCCTTTACCACCTACAGTTGGTTTTTAATAGAGACAAGGAAAAAAAAGAGAAACTGTCTCCAGGAAGCAGGGATGGAAGTGATATGATTAAAATGAAGTTTCTGATTAAACCTGATCTTGCATCTGTTTCATTGCGTTATGCTATTTATTGGGCATACTTACATTCTTCTTTCCTCTTATTTCTTGTCGCAAGACATATCGCTAAATGATGTTAGGTGCATATGCATAAAAGCTCTTACCTAGCAGGCATTATTCTGGTCACAGCTCTTCCAGATTCATAGCACTTTGAGCACCTACATAAGGGAGCTTAATTTGTTCAAGTTTACCTATTGAACACTGAAAACAGATGGTCACCACTAATTGATCTCATGGGTTTCATAGGACAAGAGATGGAACAAGAGTACCAGCCAGAGTACTATTTCCAAAGCCAAGTTCGCTGTAAGCGTTTCCTAGAGACAACTTGAAAACAGCTGATGACATCCACTTTGTTCTATCATATCTGTTTTAATTTGCATCTTTGGCCCAGTGTCATGCATGTTGCTACAGCTAGCCAAATACATTCGGTCGAGTGAATGGTTTATTTTGCTTTGAAAAATGTGTGTTTTGTTTTGGGTACAAAACAAAAACATTATTGTTCAAACAAACTAATCTGGACAGGTTACTGCTTAGCTGGGCCAAAGCTCAGAACATTTTGGTTTCAGGTTTCAGCTACAGTGCAAACCTCAGAGGGTCTTACAAGATAAGCTGAATGGTTAAAGCTTTTTTGCCTTCTCTTCATCTTTCTTGCTATCAGTCTCTTCCTGTTAGTCACATACACAGCCAGCACAACCATCCTTCCCCAATCTTTCTATACCTTTCTTTCCTTTACCTCACTAGCCACTGCTGATAGCCTTATTCTTTCCACGCTGGTTTCCCATCCTAGAATACTGCCCCCCAGAACACCCATGTTTTGAGTCCTTGCCTGGATGATACATGTTGTTGGTCTAGGCATGGACCATCCTAAAAAGTTATTGCCATGCACAGAAAGTTTTGTACCTTCCTACTTTGATCCTAAATAAACCTGTTTTGCCAAGTTCTGAATGATTGGACCAGGAGTCTGCAACCTTAAACAGTCAAAGAGCCATTTGGACACATTTCCCACAGAAAAGAAAACACCGGGAGCCACAAAACCTGGATGGCTGTGGCCAACTCGATGGTACTCACCCAGTCACATGACACACCCTCAGCCATGCCTACCAGGGTTTGTGGCTCCCGGTGTTTTCTTTTCTGTGGGAAAGGAGTCTCTCTCTCTCTCTCTCTCTCTCTCTCTTCCCCTCTCCCTCTTTCTTTCCCTCCCTTTCTCTCCCTCCCCCCCTCAATGAGTTGATGAGAAAAATGGCAAAACTACTTTCAGGACTTTCAGGGACACATTTCACCCTTAAAATACACAACATCTCTCTCTCTCTCCCTCCCTCCCTCCCTCTCTCTCCCCTGGGGAGGGAAAGGAACCCCTGAACTGGTGCTTGGTGGTGGGAATCTGACGTCTGGAGGCTGATAGCCCAGGAGCAGCATGCTGAAGACCAGCTGTCTGGTGGGGAGGCAGGGCATCACAACACTAGCAGCTCTGCAGGAAAAGCAACTGACATCCGGGAGGCGAGAGTGAGCCCACAACAACACTGCTCTTGCCAGGGGCGAGTGGGGCAGGTGTCTTAATGGGCTCCAGGAGGAGGGGACCCTGTCTCCCCCATTGTGAAGCACACTAAATTTTACTGTGCTGCTCAGGGCGCTGCAAGAACGGCAACAGCAAATGCACCGTGACGAAGCAGGAATGCTGTTTCGTGCAAAGTCAAGTGCAGGGGCGCTTAGCTCCTGCACTAAGGCTCCGCCTATCGCCACTGCTGCAACATGGCGACAGCTCTTTCATCCCTCTGCTATGACAGGGCAACAGGGAGCCACAGCAGAAGGATGAAAGAGCTGCATGCGGCTCTTTTAGCTGCGGGTTGCCGACACCTGTACTAGACTTAGTGATTCTGCTGAACTACTTGTATTGTTTCTTTATCTATATAGTTCCCATAGAGCAGTAGCCTTTACATCTTTGTAATAATTTATGGCTTCGGTTTGAACCAGGGGTGAAATCCATCAAGTTCTGACAGGTTCTGGAGAACCGGTAGCCAAAATTTTGAGTAGTTCAGAGAACTGGCAAATACCACCTCTGGCTGGCCCCAGAGTGGGGTGGGAATGGAGATTTTGCAATATCCTTCCCCCAGGAGTGGGGAGGGAATGAGGATTTTGCAGTATCCTTACCCTCTGGAGTGGAGTGGGAATGGAGATTTTGCAGTATCCTTCCCCTGCCATGCCCACCAAGCCACACCACGCCCACCAAGCCACACCCACAGAACCGGTAGTAAAAAAAATTGGATTTCACCACTGGTTTGAACACATTATTATGTCAGGTACTCTGCATTTTTAAAAAGAAAAAGGATGTAATATGAAGCCAACTTTGGGATTTACTGAGTTCTTCTATATGTTTTCTGAACATTTCAAATGTTTATTTTACTAAGAGACAGCAAGCATCTTTCTATCTGGAGGTACTGACTAGAGAACAGTTTTGAATATTCTATCAATTTGTTTTTAACCGAAAGCCCTCTGTCCCTGAACTGGTTTGTATTTTTACAGCACATGAGAAACTCAAGAATGTGGCTGATGTTTAATGTGGGTTCACTAAAATTGTGTTGGATTGCAATACGTATTGTTCTCGGTCAAGTTGGCCAACGTGAATGTTTATGTCCTATGAGTTTTTTTGAAAATTAATGCATTCCGATTGTTGTTGTTTTTAAACTAGATGATCAGCCACCTAAAGCTAAAGCCTCAATGGATGTGAAGGTCCAGCCCAATGATGAACCAGTAATATTGAATGGCTCAGAAAGTACTGATGATAATGGCATTGTGAATTACGAATGGACACTTCTTTTTGGTGATTCCTCAGTGGTAATGAAGGTAAGGCATATCAACTGTCTACTAAGATTCCCTTCTGCAGCACTTTTAAAATCCCCACTTAAGCCACAGTAGTCATATGGGATATAAGAAAAAAAAATTAAACTCCACATGGTTATGAAGACAACATAGAGTTTATAAGATACTTGAAGATTTTTAAAAATTCCTTGGAATTAGCATGTCTATTTAGTAGAAAATGTCATAAGTCATAAATTTATTTGTCAAGCATATATAAGATAACAGGTAAAAGTATAAACATAATTTGAATACATGAAAAGAATAAATAAAAAGGAATATTAGGACAGGAACGGTAGGCACGCTGGTGCACTTATGCATGCCCCTTACAGACCTCTTAGGAATGGGGTGAGGTCAACAGTAGACAGTTCAAGGTTAAAGTTTTGGGGGTTTAGGGAAGAAACTACAGAGTCAGGTAGTGCATTCCAGGCATTGACCACTCTGTTACTAAAGTCATATTTTCTGCAATCGAGTTTGGAACTGCTTACCTTGAGTTTGTATCTATTATTTGCTTGTGTATTGTTGGGGTTGAAGCTGAAGTAGTCATTGACAGGAAGGACATTGTGGCAGATAATTTTATGTACTATGCTTAGGTCAGACTGAAGTCGGCGTAGTTCTAAATTGTCTAAGCCCAAAATTTGGAGTCTGGTGGCATAAGGTATTTTATTGCGGTTAGAGGAATGGAGGACTCTTCTCGTAAAATATCTCTGGACTCTCTCGATTGTATTTATGTCCGATATGCAGTGCAGGTTCCAGACAGATGAGCTGTATTCAAGAATTGGTCTAGCAAATGTTTTGTATGTTCTAGTTAGTAGTACAACATTACTAGAGAAGCTATGCAAGATTAGGTTAACAACTCTTAATGCTTTTTTGGCAATGATGTTACAGTGGGCTCGTCACTTAGATCTTTAGAAATGAGTAGCCCAAGGTCCTTGACAGAGTGAGGGTCATCTGTGTAATACACTTGAGATGAGGACTTTTTTCCTCTGATAATACATTCCATCCATCTAATAGGTAAAGCTATCTTTACTCCTCCAGATCCTTTTGGATCTTTCAGCAAGGATCTGCTGAAATTCCCTGCCGGCTTCTCATATCACATACATTTTTGCAACTTAACAAAGATGATCTTTTTATAGACTGGCTAATTTAGTTGTTGTTGAAGTTCTTTGTAAACATTATCAATTTCATCATACTGACCACTATGAGCTTGAACAATGGGTTATTTCTGTTCTAAAAATATCAGCTTTAAAAAGTTGTAAACATGATTTAATGTAGCTATCAAATCTAATCTAAATACAGATTTTTATTTCTGGGAGTTCATGGATAGAACCAAGGGTGAAATGCTCCCGGTTCGGACTGGATCACCTGATCCGGTAGCGATGGCGGCGGGTGGTTTGGAGAACCGGTGGCAAAAATCCCTGTGCCCCCTCCCCCCCCCGGCCCAGCTGAGCAGCGTGATCATCAGAGGCTTTTTTTCCCTACTTTTAAAAGCATTTTTTCTACAACCTCTTTGGGCAAAAAAATTTATTTATTTTAATTTGATTTGTATGCCGCCCTATCTCCATAGGACTCAGGGCGGCTCACAACAATTAAGAAATACAATCTCAATCCAAATAAAAACATATTAAAAATACATACTAAATGCATATTAAAACACATTAAAAATAATCAAAACCCCATCAGTCTAGGCTGGGCAATTTAAACAACCATGTTTTTAGTTTGTGGCGGAAAGGGGCTAACTGGAGCCCCAGGGGGAGTTGATTCCAAAGGGTGGGTGCGCCCACAGAGAAAGCTCTACCTCTGGGGTAGAGCTTTCTCTGGGGGGAGAAAAAAATGCTTTTAAAAGTAAAAAAAAAAAGCCTCTGATATCTATTGCATCTTCATAATTCTGGGGATGTGGTACAAAGAATTCTGAATTTAGCAACTCCTTATATTTATACATAATGGGACTGTATAATATTATGAGCAATCCTCAGAGTTGCATAGATAAACTCTAAAGTGACGGAAACCAAGGAGACCTGTTTTTGCTTACGTCATTTTTATTTCTGATTTTTTTTTTCTTGTACTTTCAGAAAGAGAACGATATTATGATACTTTCAAATCTGAATGAAGGGATTTACATCTTCCAATTCACTGTAACAGACACTGCGGATCAGCAACACTCCATCAACATCACTGTCACTGTACTTAATTCTGATCAGACTGCAGGTAAGTCATTTGTAGATGCACCTTTTAGCCTGGAATCAAGACGGGTCAATGTAGCTTTTGCAGATTGCCAAGACCACACTCAGGAATCCTATAGGGTACAAGTATGAAGACAATAAAAGTGAACTTTTATGAAGGATAGTAAACTTTTCCTTTTTAAAGTTTATTTTATTATTATTTATTAGTCATATTTCTATGCCGTCCACTCTCCGAGGACTCTGGGCGGCTTACACCAAAGACAGTATACTAAATAGCATATTGCCCCCAACAATCTGGGTCCTCATTTTACCCACCTCGGAAGGATGGAAGGCTGAGTCAACCTTGAGCCGGTGAGATTTGATCTGCTGATCTGCTGAACTAGCAGTCAGCTGAAGTAGCTGCAATACTGCACTCTAACCACTGCACCACCTCGGCTCATTAATACTAATTAATACTAATACTAACTTCTAATTAAGTTAATACTCTTCTTAGCTTTTCAATGTTTTAGTAACACAATAGCCCCAAAGCTATTCACAGTTTTAACAATGTTATTGCTGATTTTTTGTGCCAATAACATTTTGCTAAAAATTGGTGCCATAGATTACCACCATTTTGAGGTAGAAAATATGTAGACTGTACATTAATCCCTAAAATACGTTTAAGGCCATTTTTAAGAAGCCTAAAACATTCTGTGTCCCTAAAATATGGAATTTGCAAGGGTTGGTAGATGTGAACAATGTACAGGCAGCACTCTATGCAATAACCTATTAATGACTGCCAACGACATGTGGGCTTGCAGCCTCTCAGCTTCTCTTTCAGGAAAATATTCAGTCATGCTGATAGTGATTCTGATGTATGTAATTCTTTCCTGCTTTGTTCTCTCCTTTCCTGACTCCAACATATCCACATATGGAATAGTGTTAGATAGGCAGATAAATAGCCAGATATTCTGCTTTTGAAATGGCGTAGATTGGAGTGGTATCTTAGCTCCGGAGCCTTTATACACAAAGAAAAATGCAATTACTTCTTAGAATTATTAAAGTTCCTCCCACCATCGTTTTAAAAACAACAAAAAGCTCTTCCTTGTTTTCCCCATGAAACCCGTTACTTCTTTCTTTCTTTTATATTTGTAAGAAGAATATGAATATAAATATTCATTTATATATATACATGTGTGTGTATTACAAAAATATATAAAAAGAAAAATGGAGCATGAATATTTTATCCAATAATGCTTGTATTGCGCGTTATGGCTTAAAGCCAATGTTAGCCCTTCCCCACCAAAGGCAAGAAAGACCCAAAACTTTTGCTTGGGGAGAGCTAGACATATTAATATACTATAGGCCAGAGGTCTTCAAACTTGGCAGCTTTAAGACTTGTGGACTTCAACTCCCAGAGTTCTCCAGCCAGCATAGCCAAGTTTGAAGACCTCTGCTATAGGCTTTTTAATATCCTGTAGTTAAGTAACCTTAAGAGATCCTTGGGTGCACTGACATTTCATATTTGCTATTAAAATACATTTAGAGATTCTCCTTGACAGCTACCTGCTCCCCTCTTTCTTCCAACTGCAACACTGTAAAATCTGGGAAAATAGACTATATATATATCATTTACTTTTACTTTACTTTTATTTGATTTATATACCGCTCTACTCCCGAAGGACTCAGGGCAGTGCACAGCCAACAATAAAATACATACATACAAAATTTAAAAAGCAGAAATAAAATCAAATTAAATAGTTTTGGCCCAGACAGATTAAAACCCCAATCAATTTAAAACAAATTTAAACATTTGAATATATAAAATACTAAAAAATATTAAAAATTAAAAAAAAAATTAAAAGAGGGAGAAAATTAGGCCAGGCCCACCTAGTGAAATAAAAAGATCTTTAGAGCGCGGCGGAAGGTGCGCAGATCCGGGATCCTCCGTATCTCCGGGGGGAGCTCGTTCCAGATAGTAGGTGCCCCCACAGAGAAGGCTCTCCCCCTGGGGGCCGCCAGTCGACATTGTTTGGCCGAAGGCACCCGGAGGAGCCCCTCTCTATGGGAGCATACCGGCCGGTGGGAGGCTATTGGTGGTAGTAGGCGGTCCCGCAAGTACCCAGGTCCTGAGCCATGCCTTCTCTTTATGCCTTCTCTTACCCTTACTGGGAGAATTCAATATTTCTGTTCTTTCTAGATCATTGCTTGACTCCTTATAAAGTGGGACGCTGTCGAGGCTCCTTCCACCGCTGGTACTATAATCCGGAAATAGAGCAGTGTCAGCAATTCATTTTTGGTGGCTGCAATCCCAACAAGAACAATTATGTAAGAAAAGAGGAATGTGATCTTGCCTGCAAGAATGTTCAAGGTTCGTATATTAGAAGATATTGTTTCTTTTATTTTAGAGATTTAAGTGGGGAAACCTAACCAATTCAGAATTATTTTGACACTGGCTCAATCTTATAACTTTCAATCGGGTTAGGCTGATTTGGCTGGTTTCATTCTAATGTTTTAATCATGATTTATCGAGTAAACCATAGTGCCCCAAATCACACATAACAAAAAAACATACTTTTCAATACATAGTTATTAGGTTCCAAACTTTTCCAAACTGGAACTTTTAGGGTTTGCTGGGCTAAAATTCACATAAATTCCCAATTAGCAAGGCTGGGGCACAACTATTAATTATCACTCAACATCTGGAGGACATTATTAGGTTGAAGAAGGCTGAGCCAAGGGAAGCATACGATTGGCATTTGATTGAATGAAAAGTATTGCCGGCACTGTGTTTCTATGTGTTGGAGAAATAATTGGAAGTAGCTTCAATGCATTAGATGTATGCTTCTGGTATGCTTCTATGCATACCAGAAAAGTATATAAAGGATGTGGTTTGTAGTTAGCCTCCCAACGACCAGTTCGCTCCCACAGAGAGGGTCTCCTCAGGGTGCCATCGGCCAAGTTATGTCGGCTGGCGACATCCAGGGGGAGGGCCTTCTCTGTGGGAGCCCCAGCCCTGTGGAATGAACTGCCCCCGGAAATACGTAAGATCTCCGACCTCCGGGTGTTTCACTGCGCACTGAAGACCCTGCTGTTCCGCCAGACCGGACTGTCAACAAAATAGTTTTAAATTGGGGTATTTAAATTTTGGGGGTTTTTAAATCTGAGCCAATTTATTTAATTATTTTAAATTTTAAAATTGTTGTTTGTCTGTGTTTTTAAATAGGCTGTACACCGCCCTGAGTCCTTCGGGAGAAGGGTGGTATAGAAATAAAATTATTATTATTATTATTATTATTATTATTATTATTATTATATTATTATGAATTATTATTATTATTAGTTCCTGGGCTGGCAGTTCTCTAATCCCCCTTTAAAAAAACAACAACACTGAATTGGTAAAGTGGTTGGATTGAATGTTGCGATGAGAGCTAGTTGAAAAATTGAAAGGACAATATTCTCACCCTAATTTCCTTCTTTCCAGGGGCTGTTGAAAAACGTCAAGAACCAAGTAAGTTCTTCTGTACTTTTCCATGATAGCATTCAAACTTCTTTTGAACTTCCTTACTGACATGAGGTTTAGTGGTACATCTTTGGTTGATATCTTACTCTCTGCTTTTGTAGCATTGCAGTGAAGCACTTGCAAATACCTGTCTATGAGTATTCCTCAATTTACAACCACAATTGAGCCCAAAATTTATGTTGCTAAGTGAGACAGTTGTTAAGTGAGTTTTGCCCCATCTTATGATCTTTCTCACCACAGTTTAAGTGAACCACTGCAGTTGTTAAGTTAGTAACACAGTTTTAAGTGAATCTGGCTTCTTCATTGACTTTACTTATTAGAAAGTCACAAAAGATTCATTATGATCCTGGAGCACTCCAACCATCATAAAACATGAGTCATTTGCCAAGCAACAGTTGCAACAACTGAAAAACAGTCACAGGTCACTTTTTTCAGTGCTGTTGTAATGGTTACTAAACAAACTGTTGTAAGTAGAGGACTACCTGTACCCTATTTCTGCTGTGCCCAAGGAAGAAAAACATCTTTTTACCCGAATGGCACAAAAATAAATCATTTTTGCTGAGAACCCTTGAGAACTAACCCATCTTTCTCATACAGCATGCAATGGAAACTGCCTACCCGGCTATTTCAAATGTGAAGATGGCTGCTGCATTGATAAAATTCTGGAATGTGATGAAACTCTAGATTGCCGAGATGGGTCAGATGAGAAATTTTGTGATTCATGTAAGTTGGTGACCCTTGAACTGTCTTAGAATAATAAAAATAGAGATGGAATTGAAGGCCACTGAATTAAAGGCCACTCTGCTCACTACAAGAAACTAAATTTAAGCATACCCTAAACATATGACTTACATTTTTCTGTTGAATTTTTGATGGGCATCTAAAGGCTATTGTGAAAATGTAGTTGGGCTGTTGGATAGACCTTTAGTGTGATCTGGCCTCTTAATTATCCTGGAGAAGATAATATATTTAGTGTGCCTCTAATGTGTGTGTGTATGTGTCTGTGTCTGTGTGTGTGTGTATATAGATATAGATATTTTTGAAATTTTTTAAGTGTCAGGGTTCCCACCGATGCCCTAATTAAATCATGAGCCTCAAGCCAAATTTCAAAAGAAATCCAGTTATTTATTAGGAGTTTCATGTTGGCACATTCCAAGTGAAGCCAACTCTGATCCCACGTAATTTACGTTCCAGCTCTGACCCTGTTTCCCCCCTCCCCCCAAGGTGTGTCATCAGTCACATTCTCCAACAAAGCAATTTTGCAGGTTGTAGAGATCACTCCCGTCTGGCCACTGTGGGTAACTTTGGAGATGGCCTTGACAGAGAGATGGCTGGAATGTGCTTTTGTTTTGACTGACGTGCTTCCTTGCCGCAGTTGCAGAGTTCATTTTCCCATCCCCATTGCCTATGACAGCTCGAAAGCAGGCCAGGGATGCTTTGTGAGTTGACATTAAGTTGAAGAGAAGCTGTTCTGACCTTGTAAGTAAGGCTCAGGTTTGTGATTGAAATAGGATTGTTTTTAGCTCAAAGCAATTTTGGTAAGGTTGGAGAGCTTCCTAAGAGGTCTCAATAGCTTATTTTGAATTTAAAATAGTTTTTAATGTGCATTTAATTGCACTTCACTGTCATGCATAGCTTTCTGTTCTAAAAAAGAAAAACATTTATTATACAAAACAAAACAGCAAATTAATGTTCTGCAAAATAAAATAGAATATTTGCATCATTTAGTTTATGACATACTTCATAAGAATTATTTCCATTTTCAAATAAAATGCATGTCTGTAAATCATTCTGTTGTCTGCTCTTTGTCTCTTTTCAGATATTCAAGGATTCAATAAGTTACAGAACATCAATCTTACTGGCAGAAGTAAGTATGTTATAAAATACATGAAGGTTTACACTTGAAATTTTTTTAACACATTTCAAAAATCTATGTTTGCATCTCTCTGAATATAATTGAAGAAGATTACTGTATTCATGTAGAATTTGAACTGGATTCTGTTAAGGAATTTTTTTTTTTTTAAATTCGATTTATATGCCGCCCTTCTCCGGAGACTCAGGGCGGCTTACAATGTGCTAAGCAATAGCCTTCATACTTTTGTATATTTATACAAAGTCAGCTTATTGCCCACACAACTGGGTCCTCAATTTACCTACCTTAGAAAGGATGGAAGGCTGAGTCAACCTTGAGCCTGGCGAGATTCGAACCTGCAGTAATTGCAGGCAGCTGGTCTTAATAACAGGGTGCTTTAAACCACTGTACTACCAAGGCTCTTTTTAACTACTCCAGACATATTTGAATATAATCTTGAGTAACTTTTATTATTGGGAAATTTGTCACATCAATAGATATGCTCAATTGGCTATTGTCCAACAGTCAAGTGTTTTAAAGCATTGTGTTTCCGTAAACACAGATCTGCTTTAAGTAGCACAATTTGATAGTTAAAATAGCTAAAGACCAAAAAAATGTGGAACTGAAAGTCAAATATAGTATAAATATGGACATGTAGTAAATTTGCTTGTGGCAGTCTTGTGTAATGAGGGTGAAGGTTCATTCTCGCCTGGTAACTAAATGTTTGGAAACCAACCCACAAGCTTGGAGAATGAACCTTCACCCCCCACTCCTACACCTGAGCTACAGATATTCCCCATTATCACAAAGTCTTATGTAAGCTGTAATAAGTAGAACTTGCTACAAAAAAGTAACAATAGCAATCCATTGTTACTGTTAAGCTTATACTGGTTTTAGTTGGCTCTGTTAGTTGCAATCAGGATGCGTCCTAGCCAAGACTACAAATAGTCTGTGTGAAGCCTCAAGTGCAAATCTGGCATTGGAGAAGTCCTTCTAGCATCTGGAAAGGACTCTGAACAACTGGTTATAGATCAAGGATTACCTGTAATACATTTTAAGTTTTAAAGCTAGCTGTGCTACACAGGTAGTAGGCCAATTCTCTGAGTGCTAATGGCTTTATCAAATACTTAATCATGATAGGTCAATAGAATTGGGAATACAGTTAATTAATAGCTAACAATATTTCTTGTTCCTTTCTGGTAGGTTATTGTGTGGATATGCCCGATACTGGACCATGTGAGGAAAGTATACCTCGCTGGTACTACAACCCTTCGACTGAGAAGTGTGATCGCTTCACCTATGGAGGCTGTGAAGGCAACAAAAATAATTTCGAGCAGGAAGAAACATGTATGAAAATATGTAGTGGTGTCACAAGTAAGAAGAAAATCTTAAGTTTTTTTTTATCATTGTATTGAGACTTCTACAGCACTCAGTAGTATTATTGCTAGAGGCTGGTGTTTTGCTTTGCACTATGCTAGTTTTTATTCAATTACATTAATTGAAAAAATTCTTTAAAAAATCAAGTGGACCAGGAGACTGGTAAACATTAGGAGAAATGATGTCACCATTTTGACTTTCCATAAAGCCCTCAAGATCTGGCGATCCTGGCAGGCCTGGGGCTTGCTGGGGACCAGAGATCTGTCTTGTTGGCTCAACTACTAAAGATGTCAATTTTATCCATCCAGGATTACTGTTTTTGTTTTTATGCTATTTATTACTGTGACCATTTAGATTTTATCATTTTTATATTGGCTGTTTTATTTATTGTTGTCTGCTGTCCAGAATACCCTTTGGGGGAGATAGGTGGCTATATGAATTTGATTATTATGAGAGCCAGTTTGGTCTTCTGGCAAAGGTACCAGCTAGAAAGCTGGAGACCATGAGTTCAAATCCTGCCTTAGCCATGAAAGCCAGCTGGGTGACCTTGGGACAGTCAAACACACTCACCTCACATGGTGGTCGTTGTGGGGAAAATAGGAGAAGGAAGGTGTATTGGATGTGTTTGTTGCCTTGAGTTACCTGTAAGAATAATAAAGGTGGGATACAAATAAGTACTAATACTTATTTTACTTATACTTAAGTAAAGTACTTTACTTATACTTAAGTATTAATACTTAAGTACTAATACTTAAGGTTAATAAATAACCTTCTCTGGGCACAATGGCATCCTTGGGTCTCACCCTGACCTCCTGGGGATGGTTACTTAATAGTAACTTAACTATTAAGTAATTACTAGTAACATAATATTATAAGTACATTGTTGTCTCCATTATTCTGAACATTATTACATAATCCTGTATTTTCTTTTAATATAGAGAAAGATATGATTGGTGAGAGATGGAGAGGATACGAATATCAACAAGCTAGTTTAAGTATGTAACAGCATTCCAAATAACTCTTGACTCCCTGTTTTCTGCTTGTTACAATGTTTATTTTTAACAGCAACTTGCCTGGCATTTTTGGGTGGTGGAAAGAAGTATGACGTGCTTCTAAATTATTTATTTTACTGATAACAAAGCATATATACCACAAAAGAATAAAAACCATAGAAAATGGAAAAATAAGATGTTACATAACTTTCACTTTTGCTCCCACAAAAAATACTGGCTCAAGAATTCTTTCGAACATTCCCTACCACAAGAACATATTTTTTTATTTTTGTGGAGTATGGTATAATTTAGATACCAAGGCGCAGCAATTTTTAGAACCTGAATTAAGACCAGCATTTCAAAGAATTATTTCCTTTTCCACCCCCAGTTTGTTTGTACATATAATGTCAGCAGGTGTGCACGTCTAAGAATGTTACATTATAATTATAGTTTTCTTAAGGTGACCTAGAACTGGATTTAGACTGATACTGTACTGTCATTTTTTTTTTAAGGAAGAGTCCTACAAACATAGTGTTTACTTTGTTTCTGAATGGATTGGGCAACCTGCATAAAGCAAAAACGTATCTTAATTTTTTTGCATAACGAAGCATTCTGACAATTTCAGTATAATCATGATTTTCTCTGTCCATCTACTCCTGCTCCATCTCTCATAGGTGCTTTTGAAGTGGCCATTGCTGTGCTCCTCGGTGTCTGCATCATGATAGTGTTGGTAGTCCTTGGGTACTTCTTCCTAAAGAACCGAAAAACGTATCGAAGACGTCGTCAGCCCTCTACTGCAGCTAATTCCACTCTTTCTTCTGTTTTATCAACTGCTGAAGACACAGAACATCTGGTGTACAACAGCACCACAAAGCCCATCTGATTATGTAGAATTATCCCCCATTTCTGGGAAGGACAGTCTTACCAACTGCTTGTAATGCTTGTTTGTGTGTGTGTGTGGGGGAGCGGTGAGGGGATCTATTGAAGGATTTTTCCTTCCTTTTTTCCATGTTTCCTTAGACTATCCATTAGCTGCTTACAAGCTCTACCTGTCCTTATCCTGTGATAGTTTCTAAGGTCACAAGGAGTGACCAGAAGATTAGCCCGCTTTGACACTACATGGATGGAATTTTGAGTTCATGTTTCCCTGAGTTCTATAATGAAGGTTATTTTAAGTTTAAGGACTTGCTATATCTATTGAAGGAACCATAGTTTAATCTGATGAATGGGATTCTTCTTCCCACAAAACTCACTGAAGTGTGTGTGTGAGCGCACGTGTGTGTGTTTGTGTGTGTGTGTGAGAGAGAGAGTGAGAGAGAGAGAACCTATGCTGCCTTAAAGCCACCCTCTGGGTTTTAACTGGTACAAAAAGAGGACCAATTTGATGGACTAATTAAAGTGGTGTCCTTTTCACAAATCTATTAATGTCTGTGCTGAGGCCTGAGCTCATCTCATCTATACCAAATATCTAGGTTAAATGGAAAACAGACAACATCGTAATTTGATCTGAATGCATATAAGAGGAAATAGAAATTAGGCCATGGCCGAAAATCTGGCCCTGCCTTTCTCTTCTGGATTTCCCCTCTGTTCCTAACTTCTAGTTATCATTTCTAGTTTAATGTTATTGTTTTGAGTTCTTCGTCCATACCTATTTATTTTTAGAATGAAATTGTGACCAAAAAGAGGACATTCCTCATTTTCTAATTTGTCTCCAACTATACAATTTCGTTAAGTAGTTAAATAATGTACTTACATAGGGGCAGTTTCAAAATTAGCTTTTCTTAACAGCTAATTTTCACAAGATCCTTGGACAAAAGTAGAGTCATGAAGGTTGACAGACTCTGCTTCTTGCACAGCCATCCTTAAATATAGAGAAAGTAGCAGATGTTGCCCAGAATTTATAAAGATAGAATACAGGTTTGTCCCAATTTTCAACGAATATGTTACATGAAATATATAGGTTGATGCCTATGATGTTTTCATTTACCTTCCCGTTTGTTTGAGGTAAAATATTTTAATCTCTTCCCACTTTGACCAACACCCCAGTTTGTAAATGGATGTCTTACATTTTATGGCATCTGAGTACTGGTTCACTTTATGGATAGAGATGCTTGCAATAATTCTCCATCTCTTTTCAAAAACATCCTCAAAAAAGAAGTTGATCAGCTACACCTCTTGATTTCTGGTCATTTGAGGATGCATAGAAAACTCCTCTGATCTTGTTTATGTGTGGAAGGAAGGCTGTTTCAATAAGGGCTTACGCTTAGGGGTCACTATGTGAATCACTCCCATCATCTGGCAAGTTTACATGTGACTTCAAACATTTCTGAGGACACTGAATCTTTCCAGGAACTAAAGGGGAGGAAGTATTTCACAGTGGTGGAATATATGACAGATTGACCTGTAGTTGGCTTGTATTATAGTGAATTGCCCAGCTCATGCCTGACCTCCTTGAGAATCCAATAGCAAAGCTGAATATTATTATAAAATCCAAATCTTGCTTTTGAATTTGAATCATCTTCTTCTCTGTCTATACAGGAGGTTAGCGTGTGAAGCCAGTCAGTATATTCCTATCCACTCCGTATGATATTGTACATAACTTTGGACATAGTCTTATGATACGAATGAGATATGATTATTTTGTTTATTTTTTTTTGGTAGATGTTATGAGATTTTGTTTTATTGATGTATTGATGTATATAAGGATTCTGTGCTTAGATGTAAAACTGCTGGCTAAACTGAAGAGTCATCAGCAAAGTGAATAGGAGGAATGATTATTAGGGAATTATCTGAAGGGAAGACAGCTGTTTATTGCACCAAGGGCCAAACCAGCTCAAGTGTGAAACTGGCTGAGCATCTATGAGAAATTGCAAAATGGGGTAGGGAAGGAAATGACAGAGCTGGTCATTATGTTTTACAGGGAGGAAATGAGAGATTACACATTGTGCTTTGCAGTTGACTTGGTTATTCCATGTTGCTACAGCTGTCAACTCTTACCTTTTCCCTCCCTTTCTGTATCTCTTCACTGCTTTCTGAGCCCTCAAATTCTAAATTTCCTCTGACAGTGAAATTTTTAATAAAATATTTTCTTTACAACTTGCTTGCCTGATCAGATTTTTTTCCCCTCAGCCCCAGAGTATTTCTTGCCAGCTTGAGAAAGGTTTAGGATCTTGCTGGTATCTTTGTGCTCGGAGAAAGGAAGAAGCTCCAGATCTTTCATAATTTAAGAAACAAGCTTTTAGTAACTCTATGGTACAATGCAGTGGTGAAATCCAAATTTTTTTACTAGCGGTTCTGTGGGCGTGGCTTGGTGGGCATGGCAGAGGAAGGATACTGCAAAGTCCGCATTCCCTCCCCATTCCTGGGGGAAGGATATTGCAAAATCTCCATTCCCACCCCACTCTGGGGCCAGCCAGAGGTGGTATTTGCCGGTTCTCTAAACTACTCAAAATTTCTGCTACCGGTTCTCCAGAACCTGTCAGAACCTGCTGGATTTCACCCCGGTACAATGACACGTCAACATCAATAGGTTGAAATTAGACTTGAGAGACTGTGGGTTGGAGAACATTTCCTGTACATTGGGACAAAATACTGAAGAAGGGAAGGGCACACATGATTTCAGCTGGTTGGACTAGTTTGGAATTAGGAGCCTAAGAAGCAGAAAGCATTTGCTACTAATGAAATGGCTGTCCATAGATAATTATAAGGCAAATTATATTAATTTAGTGGGTAAAAAATTGATTCATTTTACTTCCATCATAAACATCCTTTAGTATTTTTTGACTATAGTACTTTTTGAGGAATTAACCATGGCTTTGGGGCCTTGATGTTCTATTATAAACATGTAAATTCAATGCAATCTTATTTGGAACTACTGAGAAGTAAGCGCCATTTAATAGCGTATTGTAATAACAACCTGGTTGATTAAAACAAAAGTTGTATTTGGTGTATTCTTCTATTGTTTCAATGGGGGGGTGGGGGGAGAGACTGTGGAACCATAGTTTACTCAACTGATATAAAGCTGAATTTGAATAGTTTAAAAATATACAGCTACAGTGACATTATATTAATAGTAAAATAAAAGACTTCACATATTGTATTGAACAACTAGTGGAAATGACCTGAAGAATTCAGACTCTCCTGATTATTATAACATATAAAGCCATAATATATTTGGCTTGATTTTGGCTTTTGGGAGGGAGTGGTGGTTTAAGTCAATTTTGACTCCTGGAGACAGCCTGGTCAAGTCCCTGCAGTTTTCTTGGCAAGATTTCAGAAGTGGTTTGCCATTGCCTCTTTCCTAGGGCTGAGAGAAAGTGATTGGCCCACTGCCCTTATACCTAGGGCAGGATTAGAACTCATGGTCTTCCGGTTTCTAGTTTAATGCCTTAACCACTTTAACAAACTTTAGTAAACCATAGCTAATAAAATATACTTAAGAGTTGTGCACATACAGTATATTAGTTACAGAATATTAGTAGCAATAATTTGCTGTATCAGCCTAAGTCTGGGTTCACCCATAATTATTATAGTTACTATTTGTAAAGCACACTGGATGGCTTCATATATCAATAAGCTGAAATGAAGCAAGTTATATTGCAATTTACTGCAATGTGTGAGTGCAATCCAAGAATATCATACTAGGCTGTTGTGCGTATTTGTCTTCCCTGGTGTATCTTGGTGTATGTTTTTCTATAGGCTGGTCTTTGAACTTTCAATCTGTATGCTCATTGAGAAGTATAGGCATTATGCATCTTTGCCCATAAAATGTTAATGGAGGGACACTTAGCTCTCGATAGCTTGTCAATGTGACTTGGCCGAAATATAGAAATGGACCAGTATTAGAAAGGTTACAATTTTGAGAGATAGTCCCTGTAGATTATGGTCTTCACTGCTCAACAGTACCCCAGAGCAAAAAATGGTGTAGGGCCATGATGGCGAGCCTATGGCACACATGCCACAGGTGGCACACAGAGCCATATCTGTGGGCATGCAAGCATGTGCTGGCCAGCTGATCTTTGGGCCTTCTGGGCCCACTGGAAGTCGGGAAATGGGCTGTTTCTGGCCTCCGGAGGGCCTCCGGGGGAGTGGGGAAGGCCGTTTTCACCTTCCCCAGGCTCCAGGAAAGCCTCTGGAGCCTGGGGAGGGCAAAAAACAGGCCTACCAGGCCCACCATGCCATCACTGGTGTAGGGTCTCCTGCTTGGGCAGAGGATTGGACTAGATGACCTACAAGTTCCCTTCAAACTCTGTTAATCTAAATGAAATGAAACGGTGTTCTTTTTTATACAAAGTCATCTTATTGCACACACAATCCGGGTCCTCATTTTACCTACTTCAAAAGGATGGAAGGCTGAGTTGACCTTGAGCCTGGTGAGATTTGAACTTGCAGTAATTGCAGGCAGCTGGTGCTACTTAACAGTACTTTAGTCTGCTGCGCCACCAAGGCACATTCTAATCTCTGGGGAAATTATGTTCCAGAGAGAGGGGGCCACCACAGACAAGGCCCTTCTTCTGGGTTCCACCAGATGTCCTTTCTTAGGGGATGATACCTGTAACATTCCTTGCCTCCCCACTCTGGTGGATCAGGTAGATGTGATCGGCAAGAGACAGTCCCTCAAAAAACCTGATCCCAAGCCAAGAAGGGCTTTAAAGGTGACAACCAACACCTTGAATTGCACCCGGAAGCAAATTGGCAACCCATGCAGCTCCCACATTTTCTTATACCTTTCCTATTCAACAAGTAATGAGAGAAAAAAAGAGTGTGATTGTGGCAAGACCATAAGAGGATAAAATATAGCTAGTATAACATTGCTACATTTTGTAAACTAGAATGGGAAAGTGATGGCAAACAATTTCCTTATTGTTAGGAAGAAACAGCATGAGTGTATCCACATGATCATTTGGAGGAGCTGAATTTGAGGAAGGGTTTCCCTTCCTTCTATGTAGGCTTGTTGTTGGAGATTACAGATTCTGCCTAATAACAAACTTGTAGAGTTCTGAAAGAATGGGAACTGACACAAAATCACTGAGAAATGAAAGGAAAATATTACTATGCTTGAGAGACTCCAGTGCCTCCGTCCCCCACCCCAGCTCAGGTCCACAGAAGTTGAAAGGGGAGCATTCAAGAAAGCAAATTTAATGGGACAATAAACACAACATTCTTCAAATACTCTATTGAGGACCAAATAGCAGGGGATGAAACAATTGAATAACACTTGGAAGAAGCAGGGGTGTGGATAGTGAGAGGGAACTTTGGTAGCAGAGAAAAATGGAATCTTTTTGTTTCAGTGAAATTGTGAAATCCTGAACAAGAGCACTCTCTTGAGGAAGAAAACATATACTACAATATTTTATGTTGTTTTATTTCAGGGCTGTGTGAATTCTGCTTGGAAACAGTACAGAAATCAAGGCTAAAAAAGTGCTGTTTGATCCAGTGACCTGTCCCAAGTTGTCAAGAGCTGAGTTGTCCTAAATAGGTCAATTTCTCCAAGTGTCACTAGGGATGAGGCAATATTATTGTCAGCCTATACAAAGAAGTAGAGGTTCAAATGTTCAAACAGGCCACAGAGTGTCACTAGTGGGCTGCGGTTCCTTAATTTAAAAGTTATTAAAAGAGAATTGTAGCAGTCCAAAGACTAAAGCAAATCATTGTGGCACAAACAATTGTGAATTGAATCCCACTTTCACTGGCCCCACAATAACTACCACTTTTAACATTTATTCAATAGATTTATATAGTTACCCATCTCAAGTATCTGCTTTCTGGATGGCTTATACATAAAACTCATAGTAGCCAAGGCAGTTCACACATTTGCATGTCATTCTACAATATATCTTGATCTTTTGCAAAATGAGAATTAATCCAGTTTTCCTAGTAAAAATTGTTCTGTTATTCTGTTATGTTGCCTGCTCAGATCCTGTTTCTCTTAAAAATGGATGAATAAGAACATACATTGTGCACTGCTGAATCAGAGCCCTACCCATCTAGTCTAGCAATCTGTTCTCACAACTGCACAAAAGAAGCCCTTTACTCTCCTGTAGATGGCCTTCAGAATTGGTTCTAGTACCATCAAGGCCAATAGCCATTAATCCCCATGACATCTATGAATTGGTCCAATCCTATATCAATACTATGTATAAGCAATTTCTCTAATTCACTTAATTGTTGGCCCATCCCCTTATTGTCTTCATGTGTTGAACAGTTTGCTTTTAAAAGGATGAAATTAGTACTTGTGAATTATTCCATAATGTATTTATGTTCAGGAGTACTAATGAAGTTTCAAAGCTCATGGGGAAACTGGAGGTTTGGTGGTAACACAATTTATTTGTAGTCTAAGGATTGAAAGAGACACTCCATAGATGCCAATCATTCACTGCTCTTAGATCAGCCTTCTTTCTCAAGTGACCATGTCCTACAGGCCACGCTAAATGAATATTATGGACATTGGAGTCCAAAATTGCTGGACAAGTCTACCGTGGGAAAATCTGCTTTTCATAAACCCAGCCATTATGTTTTATTAAGTGTAGTTTGTGGGTTAGTGTGCTGTGCAAACCTATCCAGTTGTGGCTTTTGACTAAAACAAATCACTGAAAAAGCCAATAATAGGAGAAAATCATAGAAGGTAAGGTTGGTCTGTATCTCAGAAATCATATATACCAACTCTATGTCGATACAGGAAGCCCTCATTTAGCGACCAAAATTGGGACCAGCAACTCAGTTGTTCAATTACATGGTCATTAACTAAGCCACGACTGTGCTTATTTTATTTTAGTTTTCCTTGCTTTACGGATCTTTGAAGATCATAAATATGAGGATTGGGTTAAAGTTACTTTTTCATCACTGTCAAAACTGTGAATGGTTGCTAAATGAGGCAGTTGCTAAATAAGGACTACCTGTAGAGGAATCTAGTAGTATAGCCTGTCAAATCATCTTCTATCCTCTGATGAAGTATTGGCAATAAAGAAGAATCCATCACCAACCAAGGCAGTCTATTCCTGTAGGAGAACAGGCGTAGCTGGTGGGGGTTGGGGGTGGGGACAGTTAAGTGCATCATCAGCTTGGAATCATTACATTGTCACAAATGGTTCAAGTCC